AATCTTTTAATTTTATTAAATTTTTCTTTTTTCATATATTTAGTATATCTAACTTTATTTATTATTTATTTATTATTAATCTTTGTTTGATCAATTGTTTCAGCCCTTGCCCCATTTTGCTTAATAATAACCTTACTACTGTTGGTTTATTTCTTTTAAAAATAAAATAATTTTGTTTAAAAAAAAAAAACTTTACACTTATCGTTAGAGTTAACGTGGTAAAACTGTGCAACTAGCAGTTACATATCGGAAAGACTTTTGAAAAATCGAGGTCCACTGCTTTAAATCTTATTAGCTCGTGCATATTCATCCGCGACCGATTGCATATAATGCGGAACAAATAGAGCGTGCGCTCTCTATTGTGACCAAATCTTGCTCAACCCTCCAATGCATATCGCGAGTCAATTCTAGTATGTGCCTTAAAATTCCATGTCCCTTCCATGTGCATGAATCCATATGATACACGTCTTGCGCGTAAAAATCGAAGGACAAACGCTTCAACTCAGCAGGCCAAGAGGAGGAAAAATAAAAAATTTATGTGGAAAATAGATCGTGCATTTTTTTCAAGATTAAAGTGAAATCTCGCGTCAAATGAAAATCTTTGTAAAGCGACCGACAAACGTACGATTATACACTTACGAGTTTTTTGCCGTAATTGCTTTTATTAGTAAACATCGATTTTACTATATCGATATTTAGTAAATATCTTTCTCTCTCTCTCTCTCTTGCATGTTTCAGCGAGAATGCACAGAAACTGTCAAAGGTGTTCCTCGATCGACCGATGAGTGCTTTGAACACGTCCATATTTTGGGTGGAGTACGTCGCGAAGTACGGAAACGTGCTTCAATCACCGGCCATTAATCTCTATTGGTGGCAACGGAATCTACTGGATGTTTACGTCTTTATACTTGCCGTGATTATCACAGCACTTTGTATCGTGCTGTTTATTCTACGGAAATTGAAAAATCTCTTGTTTGGGTCACCTGTTTGTGCAAAGAAGAACAGCGCAGTGATTAAATCGAAGAAGAACAAGTGAAGAAACTTGCGACACAAACTGTATAAGTATGTAATTTCATTTCATTTTTTATCTTCCTCTGGATTCGCGAAAACGATATATTCGGAAGACAATGCTGTTCTAAGAGCAGCATCTCTCGTTTATTACTATATCGCGAGCGTATTTTAATAAAATATATCTTTATAATTAATTACACAGGGCATGTTTCTGATATAATGCATAATGTAGCAATTAGTGTTAATTATTGCGTGGGGCATAGCCTGACGCATACGCGTCCGACGCATGCATCGCGTGCAAATGCACGCATGTGTAACGCTAATACTTTCATTTCTCTCTACTCGAACTAACAACGAAACGTCTAATTTCTAGACAAGAATCAGATACATTAGTGTGCAATCACGATTAATCGAGTATCAAGTCGAAGCAAATGAGGGAAGCCCTGATAAAATTTGCATACAATGTAGACGCGTACGTTTCTCGCTCGCAAATTCGCTTACAATTAGTGTATCACGGGATTTCGCCTTTATTTTCAAATATAAAAAATACTTTACCCGGTGGCAGCGTCGTATTTGCGTCTTTCAGCTTCATGCATTCTTGCTCGCGTTCCAGTAGAATTCGACGAAATTCCTCATCGAGTAGTGTGCTACCCACCGTCGTGTTTCCTGCCATCTGTTCAGCAAACGACACGTAGAATATTAATGAGTTACAGTGGCAAAAGTAAGGTAAGTGATAAATGACTATTACACATTATGGCATAACTTTACTTATTCCGTAAGGCTACTTAACATGCGTCACGATCTACAACAAAGGAGAGGAACCCAAGTAGAGCCTTACGTTAACGCTTTACGTTTAGTTAAGCCATGTTTTACTGTACTAAAAAAAAGGTATGATAAAAAGATGTTAAGATAATTAATTAAAAATTATATAAACTATATACCTTATTGTATAATTTATAAAAATAAAATTTTTCTTTGGTATTAGAGATCAAATTTATATATTAAATGAAAAATAAATGTAATAGAATCATTTCGACCGTAAAACATAATTCTGTAGAAAAGATATTTGACGGCGAGATTATAAAATCAATTGTGAAATTCCTGGGCCGTGCCTTACGTTAACGCTTTACGTTTAGTTAAGCCATGTTTTACTGTACTAAAAAAAAAGGTATGATAAAAAGATGTTAAGATAATTAATTAAAAATTATATAAACTATATACCTTATTGTATAATTTATAAAAATAAAATTTTTCTTTGGTATTAGAGATCAAATTTATATATTAAATGAAAAATAAATGTAATAGAATCATTTCGACCGTAAAACATAATTCTGTAGAAAAGATATTTGACGGCGAGATTATAAAATCAATTGTGAAATTCCTGGGCCGTGTTCTTTTGATCTGTTATCACATTTTCATTACATTCTCTATATATTCTCTCTGCGTTCGCGTCCGATTGCATCAGCTCTCTGTCACGATATTCGTTATAATATCGCAAATTTGCCGATTATTCGTAAAGGTCGTCGTCGCTACAATTTTGTCGAGCGAGGCGTGATTGCTGCGAAACTTTGCAGAGATGGGTAGATATAAATCGTCGCCGTTGGCGATGAATTTCAACGTATTATCGAGGAAATCCTTTCATTGAGGTCCGACACGGTCTGTGATAACTTTATTGCATAGAAATGAACGTTATTGCATCCGGTCAAAGCATCCCCGATATGAAATAATGAGGCGTTTTACGACAAAGCCATTTACGCAATAGGCGAAGAAGCGCTCCGATGCTCGGAGTCGGGATACATCTGAAAGTTTGTCGCACGAATAATCGTCACGTCGAATTTCCGATATTAATTATCCCCGACCGCTGGAATGCGTGTCATAATATTGATTGTGACGAAAAAACACATATCTAAAATGCAAAGAGTCGCGTAAAGTTCTTTACAAAGAATTTTACGCGACTTTTCGCAATATTGAAAAATTGATTAAAATGATAAAAAAATTTATTTAAATAAAGTATTCTATCTTAATTATATCTTTCTTTTGTACTAAAATAAAGTAAATGTAATAAATTACATATACATAGTTATATACTAGCAAATGTCATAATATAGCTGCAATCAATATAAAAATGTATTATTGGCACGCTTCATAACGTCATAAATAAGCATGCAGTGCCCAGCTGACAGACGTTATCGGCTTTGCAGCGCATACATTTATTACTTAGCCAACATAGCATTTCACTTATTCATTCATTAATTAGTTCATACAATTATGCCATGTGTCGCTGTATTGGGATTACGTTGCAGATCTAAATAAACAAAAGGTGCTGCTTATTTACGCAACGCAATTTATTTCATCTAATTATATACGCAACACAACGCAATTTATTTCATCTAATTATATAACCATAAGTAGAATCTTAAATAAATGATATAATGGAAATGAATAATGTAAATCTGTAATATAGTAATATAAATAAAGCACACATTCATCAAAAAAAAATTTAAAAAAAAATAAATAAATAAAAAAAAACAATGTTTCATATTAAGATTAATCATATATTACAATTTTGCAAAGTATTTTTTAATAAACGCCAATCAACATTTTAATTAAAATAAATGATAAAAGTTATTAACAATACAAAGAAAACGTACTTCGTATAACAATTTATGCAAAACCAAATGCAGTTAACCATAAAAATATTAATTGAATGGAGACAAAATACAGAATACTCGACGAGAACGAATGTTTTCGGTGTAATTTTTCTCTTACCGCTATATTTGATTGCATGCCATCCGTAAACCATTCCTAAACCACAAACGCGAGCGACAAATATCGATGATTATTCGCGAAAAATCGACGTTCTCCACATCTCGTAAATGCGACACGGCTTCCTAAATCAAACGACTCGGTAAATAGTGACCCGTTAATTTATATTCAATTAAACGCGTCCGATTGCCAGAAGATTCATGAATTTACATTTCGCTGAAATTTCACGCCGCGTCAAAAAAAGCGTGCCTACGTATACATCTACGTCACTGTAATACTTCACGGCAGTAACATCACACCACCTGAGTGAAACAAGATATTCGCGCAAAAAACGCCGTTTGCTTTCAAATTGATGTAAAATAAAATAATTGAGCACAAAAGTATTCTTGCAACAGTTACAAACACGTTTTATCGAAAGTTTTCAAAAAATCTATAAAGCGCCATTATCGATTTTTAAGAGTTCAAGCATTTTGTCACATTTTATTGAAATATCTTATTACATAAAAGGGAGAAAATATTTTATGCGCTACATGTATACTATAAGCGAACAAAAAGTAAAAAAATCAAAGGAAAACGAAAATAAAATTGGGTGAGATCAAAACCGAAAATAACAAGATTTCGATGTTGAATTATGGAACGAGTTTCTCTATTTTAACACTGGCTCAGCTACCTTGCGAACTCAATCCCAAGACAATTCCCCCCCCCCCCCTTTAACCTACGTTTTCACCGTATATTTCTAACGCTAAATATAATTAATTCATTTTGAGCTTTATTTAAATAAATATCGAGTAAACAATTGCGAATTTGCTAAAGCAATTTTGAATCTGTTCATCATATTTTCATCGCATATTTAACGCGAGAAAAAAACGATATTGATATCATTGCCGTATTTAGGCAAAATCAAATGCAAGGACTCACAAAATTAAAAAATAGGAATTAGACATCCATATTTAATGTTAAGTGATAAGAACATAAATTTTTATGCCTCTTTTTACATTTTGAGATAAATAACAAGCATCGACGAACTAATTGTACATAATCTTTGTACGCGAGAACTTCTTATGAGTAACAATAACAACTAAAGAGATCACGCTTTTACTTATTTATGTCAATGCCATCTATGTTTATAGGTAAGAGCAGTATAATTAAATACATAAAAGAAACCAAACTTTAAAAGAAACGCCCGAATGCGATGACGAGGGGGCCATCTATCTTGTGGCACTGTGTAATGGGATTCTTTAGCAACTTTCTCACACCACGAGCATGACGCTATCGTTTTTAGTTTTTAGTACGTTTTATGGTTTGAATGAAGTTGTATTCGTCGTTCGTGGCCATTTTCTCGTGGCGATTTATTTTTTTTTGGGGGGGGGGGGAGATTTTCTTGCAAAGTTTGAGAGAGACAGTGAGAAAGAAGAGTAGAGAGCTGAACAAGAGTCGTCGCGTGTTTTGCCAAAAACTCGTTGATAAGGAACAACGCGTGTGAGGCTGCATTGTCATGGTGCAGCACCGATGAATTGCTGGCGCACGCCTCCGGCCGCTTCTTTCTCACTGCCTCTCTCAAACTTTGCAAGAAAATCTTTAAAAAAATCTTAAAAAAGAAAAAAATCGCCACGTCTAGAAAATTGCCACGAACACAACCTCATTCAAACCACCATAAAACGTAAATTAAGAACGATAGTGTCATGATCGTACTGTGAGAAAGTTGCTAAAGAATCACATTACACACAGTGCCACAAGGCCAATGGACCCACGTCATTGCATTCGGGCGTTTTTTTTTTTTTTTTTAAGTTTCTTTATGAACAGTCCTTGTATATATAGAATGCCACTTTTAGAAGCTGAAAAGGTAAAATTATATTACCAGACAACCGTGTCGTATCGTCGTATAATCTTGAAAAGGCAAATTATAGAAACGGACAAGTGTTGTTCCTGTGCAATGAGTGATTCTATGGTTATTTTCAACGCGACAAAATCTGCGTAACATTAAAGCGCTATCACTAATATATGTCACCATCGACGCGATTCACAATTTAGTCGTACCGCTTTTAGCGAGCAATCCTTGAATGTTATACCGATCCTTGCGACAATGTGTAATTTGCATAACAAACGACGGCTCGCAGAATAAATAAATATTTGGGCGACCGAGGAGTATCTTTGCGAAAAAGATATGATATGAGCATAGCGACAGTTTGACGCAACCAATAGCACAACTTCCGTTATCGTTCGAGGAAACGTCAGATCTATCTTCGCGTCTTCCCTTCTTGTCGATCGTTTACGAGATCTCACATTGTTGAGTTGCTGATTGATAAGTACCATCGATTCGAGGGCTCATAAAAGGATTTCACCGCGTTGAATGATAAAAGGACGGGGGAGAGAGGGAATATCGGTTAATCGACTGCCGAATGAAAACTGATTTGATGCAACGACATAATACATTATTTCCAGCTTCATTATATCTCGTTGGACCAGTGGAATATTAAGAAAAAAAAAATTCATGCGAGCTTGAAGCAATCTGTAATTTTCTAAAGACCTACGAGACTTTAGATTTACGTTTACAAAAAGAGGGAGAATAAATTTTCTTCCCGTATAAACAATATTGTGGTTATCGAGAATTTAATTCTGGAAATATCGAACTTAAAAAAAAATTTGTAGTAAATCTTTTGTTACAATACTGCATTATTACTTTTTATTGTAAATTTCTCTCTTTCTCTCTCAATACTATCCAATATAAAAATTAGAAAAATTAGAAAATATATATCTTATTCTTTTACATATAATTTTAAATGTTGTCACGTACTCTAACATATTGTGTATATCAAACTTTGAGTTTATATATTGTAGTATTCACGAATATTCAACGAATTTAAAGCAGAGTGACAAAGGATCGCGAATAATAATACACACACACCAAATTTGCTTTATTTATAAAACAATGTGAGAATAAAAGGATCGTTCTAAGTAAATTGTTTAAATAATCAAAACATATGAAAACATACCGATTTGTATATAACCGTACGTTAATCCAAAATTTTCATTACTCTTTTATGCAAGTGTTATAATTTTTTAAATTTCTGGATTCGTTTTCTTGAGTATTCTACATGCAAAAATGTATCTCTCATTCTCATACGGAATCGATATTTAGAATGTGAAGATAGCTCGATTTTACATTACAAAAAAAAAAAAAAACTTTAAGTTACAATAAAAGTTTTGACGAACCACTATAACCTTGAAATACTATAGATATAAAGAGATAGATTCAATATTGGCTATATATATTTGTTCCTAACAAAAGATAACTGCCAGGTTATTTTCTTTCCTTATCTACGCATATCGAACAATTATATACTATGTCAGTCGTTCAAGAACAATGTTCATAAGCCATATGATAAAATTAAGAAAATAAAATATCATTATAATATTTAAAATAATATAATAAAAATGGGATTTATATATATATATATTATATTAGATGTGTATTAAAGATCTATATTTTATATATACACGCGTATATATATGGATTATATGAATTATATATGTATAATATATGTATAATAATATATAAAAAAATCTCTCGTAATACTTTAATACAAGCGTATATAGGCAATGTTGAGTTTACCTCTTTATGTTTCTCTATACATATATGAGAAATGCTCTCTCTTATTTCGTGTATAAACTTGAAATGCCTATCATGAGAGTGTATTGAATTTTCTATGAGAACCTTTCCTTTCGTATTCATTTGGAAAAAGATTATAAAAGTCGAAAGTTATTCGGCATTTTGATAGGGATCGATAAATGCAACTCACTCTTATTCTTTGTAGTGAAAACCGAATAATTTGTGAATATATTTCTACGCAGAAAAAAAGCGAAAATAAAGGCGTGTACATACGTGCGTGCGCATCACGAAAAGCTCAAATTCTATCATTTTCAAAATAACATTTAACAATAACGTCACAAACACGAGACATTTTATAGATATTGGCTTACTAACCTCAGTTTGTATCTCCATGATTGGCGTTATTGGCAGGTTGCAAAAATGAAATACGTTAGAAACCTTTGAATCACACCAGACCTGGAACAACAAAAACGAATACATTCAAAGATGATACGAAGAAAGCGTTATAATTATTATATTTTTAAAATAATTTCACGTTTAAGAAAAATTCTTTATATGCGTCAGAGATATTGTTCATAAGGCCGAAATTTATGAGAACATTTGTAAAATAAAGAAAAAGAAATACGTAAAGAAAATATATTTTTTATTGATAAAAGGGAGGGGAAAAGAGAATATTACAAGCAATAAAAAAAAAAGAGAGAAAAAAAGAGAAACCCGCTAAATAGAAAATATTCTTCATTTTAATTCGAATTATATATCTGAATAAAGGGAACACGATAAAAACAACTTTGCGGCGAACGTGAAGCATCTAATGATGCCAGGCTGGAATGATAAATGTAGAGCGATATATGTGGTCCATGTGTATATACGGAAAAAGAGCGAACGCATTACGTAAGCCGTCGTGTTTGTGGTCTCACCGATTTATTTTGAGAGGGACGCGGACCGACTTCGAGTCACTTCTTTCGAATTCGATATGCGGTCTGTCCTAATTTTTACCCGAGTTACGAAACCGAGCCGATATTTTCGCGTCCAATTTTACGCCCCCGCAACTATTTCCATTTACCTCAACCCTCTCGCGTCGGGACAAATCGATTCAATTTCCATTCTATTAAGATCAGCAGGTGGTAGAAGAGCGCTTTCCTGCT